GTACCACACCGAGCGCGGCCGAACATACGAGCCGAGACCGCAATACAAGCACTTTTACTGTAACATTTCAAACTAAAATAACGTTCATGTGTCACAAAAAGCCCTTAACCTAACAGTTTTCAAGTTTATACTGACATTTATATGCGCAATCCTCTCCGACAGCTCCCGCTTCACTGTCCGCCATATTTTTTAAGTTTTTCTGCCGGCCGGCCCGCAAGGCATCTTGGGAAATGCTACCTGTTGAAGGATACACCGGACCCATCCTTCATTCAGGCGAAAAGAAGGCCGCATTCGTCGACCGCATTTGAAGGAGTCTTCGAATTGGGACAGGCCGAGTCACGGCGCTGTGACGTAACCAGCCGACGAATCCGGCCGACGTAGGATGCAGACCCTGAATTGAGACACAGCCTCCGTGTGTGTGTATTTGTTAGCAGCTCCGCCTTCTCGGTCTGCCAGGCAACGGCATTTGTTGCATTTTTCAAACATGAAGTGGGAGTGGCGTTAGACTCTGGTAGGGGTTGACTTGCTCTTTAAAGAAGTGAAGAGGGTTTTAAAATTAATCAGCAGATAGTAGCAGCATCATGAGTTTTAGTTAGTTTTTGGAGGCGAGGGGTGTCCAAGGTGAAGATGATTAGCTAAAGTTGGTGGCTAGCACTTTTCCCACATGTGTGTCTTTAATTTAAACATTATGTGATTAGGACACACGGGCCTTTTACCAATACCCAAGTACATCTTTACGTTCTTGGCAAGTACAGCAGAAAATTCACTCAACAGAGTGCGGGAGGATGTTTCACAAGTACATGAGTACACGAGATCAGACGAGTACACATGTTGAGAAATGGCCATGGATTGGGTAGCATGTTTCCCAGTAATTAGACAGATCTCAAAGTGGGTTCTAACACTGATAAGGTGCTGGAGTTGTTTGTTTCAAATATATTTCAGTGTTAGAAAGGGGAAACCTACCATGGCTTAAAATAAATGGGTGAAAAGTGCATTCAAAATACAGATGTTTTAATAATTTTTCTTTCAGAATAATTTTAAAGGATGAAAGAACAAGAATGCGGATCCAAGCGGCCAAAATGACTTTTCTCCACAGGGTGGCTGGGCTCTCCCTTGGAGATAGGGTGAGAAGCTCGGTCATCCGAGAGGGGCTCAGAGTAGATCTGCTGCTCCTCCACATCAAGAGGAGCCAGTTGAGATTTTTCGGCCATCTGGTCAGGATGCCTCCCTGGTGAGTTTTTCTGGGCACATCCAGCCGGGAGAAGGCCTAAAGGAAGACCCAGGACATGCTGGAGAGACTACGTCTCACGGCTGGCCATGGAGCGCCTTAGGATTCTCCTGGAGGAGCTGGCCCAAGTGGCTGGGGAGAGAGAAGTCTGGGCCTCCCAGTTTAGGCTACTGCCCCGCGACCCGACCCTGGATAAGCGGCCGAAACTGGATGGATGGTCTTTAAAATATATCCATTTGATAAATCAGTTTTCTTTGGTTTTAGCTGCCCTTGAACACACTGTAGCTAATAGTTGAATTGAATTTACCTGAAAAAAAAATGTAGTTGTCCCAGAGCTCTCATAGCAAGAATATTTAAGAACGAGACAATTATCTACACACACATTTTCTTATGTACATAAGAAACCAAAAAACAGATGTCAGTATTTCATTCAAAGTTGGCAAAGAGCGTAATCGTGTTAAACTGCATTTGCTGTTAGAATAACCTTCCGCCACTTCTTCCTGCAAAATAAATCTGTTTGGTTGGCATTATGATCAAACTTTGAGTTATTCGCCAGTTTGTCAGAAAAATAGTCCAGAAAGTAAGATGTTAAATATCCAACTGGCACTTCTTGAATCATTTCAGGCAGTTTGACATCAGTGCTGTCTATGCTGAACCGCTGATGGCTGCAGAGAAACAATCTGAGCCAAACTTCCTGTCTTAATTTTACACCTAAGGAGAATTTCCCAGATGTCACGGTGCCGTTGCACACATCTCAGGAACCCTCAGTGAGGCTTTGTGTTGCTGTGTCATGACTTATTGACCTAAAAACTCCACATCAGCTCAGCTTCTTCAGCGGAAGGACCTTTATACTGGAAAGGAAACAGGAGTGCTGCGTCTGGGAAACTTTACCCGAGGATTGTGTGTGATAATCTCTCTGTGTTAAACAACAGGAGGGCATTTCTGACACATACTTCAGCCTCTCCCTGTTGGCTGATGCTAGGGTTGTTGTGACACTTGAGTCCTTAAGTTCAGCTGTCGAATTCCAGCAAAGGCGCCCATCTGAGGAATGAAATTCATCCCAACTATGTTGAAAATAATGAGCTGCTGAAGCTCTCCCTGTACTAACTCTCACTGCTGTTGCTCAGTTTCATTTTTCATGCTAAGTAAGTCATTTAAATGACTAACTCATGTGGTCCGAATATGAACCACTACAATTGTAACACATGAATCATATACACCGGTATTTACGCTCTAGAGTCAACTCAGAACTCAAGTTCTCACATTTCTCTTCTATTGGTTCCATTCTTTTCCCTGCCGAGTCTATTTATGCTCTTCAGAAGCGATTCAGCCCGTTCTGAACCATCGGTTCATGTGCAAATTTAGACAAACACACACACGCCCACACACACACCCACTGTTTCACCCACCAGTCCTCTCCGAAGGATCCATCTGTCCACAGACATGCATGTTCACATTCAGCAGGTAGGCCTGCCGGTGTGTGGGTGCACATGTGCAGTGAGATAATGAAAGGAAATAGGTCTTTTGTCTTCCTTCTTGCCCACCTACAGCAGCTGAGGGGTGTGTGTGTGTGTGTGTGTGTGTGTGTGTGTGTGTGTGTGTGAGTGTGACAGAATGTAGTTTATAAGTAACTTCTGCTTTCATCTTCAGCGTTCTATAAAGCGAAACCACTTTGGAGCTGCAGAGGAAATGACAGAGATTGGGACTGAGACAGGGAAATGAAGAATTGAGACAAACGACTGCAGCAGAATTTTTACTGCATTGTTCCTTCTCTAGGAGTCTGCGACGTGCTGAACGTCAGGGCGTCTCAACAATTACTGCCTTATGAATGTTGGTATCCATGTCTTTAATCAAAAATAAATTATAAAGACATAGCCGTTAATGTTGCTTTAGTATTCTTTAGAGTTAAATGTGATGATTATTGTAAAATTACAGTTCCTAAAATAATCTCAGCTAAAGATCTTTAGTGTATATGATGTAAATGGGTCTAGGCACTAGTGTACTGAATTAAACCTCACTGTCTGTAAAACTGGTGGAATTAAAGAGACACTATAGAACTTTTTCATTTAAAAAAATAATAATTTTCTTGTGCCAGTATGTGCTAAAATGACCCTTTACAGGGTTAACGAAAAGACATAGCCCCTATTGCTTCCTGTGGCCGGATTATTCCATTTGCAACTTCAGAGTGCCCGTCCAGTCTGTTGGACTTACAACAAAATGGAGCTGAATTATCGGATGCTGCAGTCTACTTTTAGCCCGTTTCCTGCATGTTTTAGATTGTAAACACAGTTGATTTGTTTAATTTAGTGATGGATCACTCCTGTAGATACCAATGAAGGTTGGGGCGACATTTCAGCTATGAGATTAAGGTGTTTAAAAAGACAAACGCACAGCGAGGAGAGATTTTGCTTTCAGTTCTACTAAACAGACACTAGGGGGTGGTAAAAGCAAACCAAAACTGCCTAGTCATCCTTTAAAGCCAAAGTCATGTTCTGCTGATCATTGATGACGGTTTCAGAAAAATCTACCCAAAACAAATAGACTGTCGTCAAAAACGTGTTTTCCCACCCTTTCCCCTCACCGACACACATTCTGTTATTTTTCCGTACTTTTATTAACGGTAGGAAGTTAAATTTGCCATCCATCCATTTTCATCCGCTTATCTGGAGTCGAGTCGCGGGGCAGTAGCCTAAGGCGAGAGGCCTAGACTTCCCTCTCCCCAGCCACTTGGGCCAGCTCCTCCGGGAGAATCCCAAAGCGTTCCCTGGCCAGGTGAGAGACATAGTCCCTCCACCGTGTCCTGGGTCTACCTTTAGGTGTCCTCCCGGTTGGACGTGCCCGTGCCTGACCAGATGCCCGAGCCACCTCAAATAGCTCCTCTCGATGTGGAGGAGCAGCAGGTCTACTCCGAGCCCCTCCCAAATGGCCAAGCTTCTCACCCTATCTCTAATGGGCCATTCCCATCTGTACCAGGTCGGCCCGGGCCGGGTAGCCCCGGTCGGCCCCAGCCTGGCCCGGTTGATTCCACACATCCTTGTCTTAAGCCCACGTGGGCTGATTCTACCCACCAATCAGAGGCTTGCTCTAATGGAAGGTGTGAATTTGCTGTCAGCAGTGGGTGTGTTGGCCCTGGTCGGCCTGAAGCAGACCCCCTCGAGAAGAGGGCTGAGAATGAGCCTTGGTTGGCCCGGAAAAATACCAGGCCACCCAGATATGTAAACAACCTACGCTACCGGCCCGGGCCGACCCGGTACAGATGGGAGTGGCCCATAAGGGAGCGTCCAGCCACTCTTTGGAGAAAACTTATTTCGGCCGCTTGTATCCGCAATTGCGTTCTTTCGGTCATTACCCAAAACTCATGACCATAGGTGAGGGTAGGAACGTAGATCGACCGGTAAATCGAGAGCTTTGCCTTCTGACTCAGCTCTCTCTTCACCACGACAGACCGGCACAACGTCCGCATCACTGCAGATGCAACACCAATCCACCTATCGATCTCACGCTCTAGTTTTCCCTCACTCGTGAACAAGACCCAGAGATACTTAAACTCCAGCACTTGGGGCAGGACCTCATCCCTGACCCGGAGAAGGCATTCTACCCTTTTCCCAATCAAGTTTGAAATTAGAAATTTGCCAAATAACTTCAAATAAGAAAGACAACTGGCTTCAACTTGCCATGTTTTTGGTAAAGCAAAGGATCAGATCAGCTCCAACCATCCTCAGCTGAATTCAGATTCAACTTTTCAAACATTATAAATCTTTTGTTCCATCAGATTACCTGCCTACAGGACTTCTTTGGGGAGGACGATGTGTTCATAGCATGTGGTCCAGAGAAGCACCGCTACGCTCAGGATGACTTTGTGTTGGATCACAGTGGTAAGACTTCCACTGCCTTTATAACTGGGCAGCTGAACTTAACCTCTGTGTTTGTGTCTGTCTTCTTTAACTTCATAAATAATTTTCTTGTGACTATTTGCAACATATCTTTTCTTTAACAAGTTGACATCAGGTTGGGTGTTTTACATTTGAAGCGACACTAAGCAGGTTAGTTTAAAAGTGGGGTTCAGTGATTACATTGGTAGAAACTTTACCAACTTCACCTGGAACAGCACACTGCTGCCCTCTGCTGCCCAGAAACAGCACTTAACAGTGTTGTGGAGCAGGCAGGAGCCCCAGGGTGCACTCTCTACCTGCTTAGTGTCTGTTAACATTTTTTTAAAGGCTAGCAGTTAACTTTTTCAGTTCACCACCATCAATAAAAAGCCCAAGAAGAAGAGCAAAACCTGAGAGAACATTGGCTTTCACTCATTTTAAGGAGCTAAAGGAAGCTATGAAATCACAGACTGATGGTGGCCTGGCTTTGTATCTACAGGACTTGTAAGCAGGGGTGGACTGGCCTATCTGGTAATCTGGCACTGTACCGGTGGGCCGCTTGGCCAGCATGGGCTGACGCAAGCCAAGCAGCAAGCTCTCCCCTTTCCCCGAAATAAATGCCAGGGCCAAATGGCCATCTCAGTCCCCCCATAATATTTTCTGTGCAACAGTGTGGATCTTTTGTAATTCTTGGCATATTTGGAATAAGTTGGCTTGAACTAGAGTTAGCTTGTTGGTAGTGCTGTGGGGGGATGCGAGACGACACCCCCGCCACCACCACTCTGAGACTTTCTGACAAAGAATGCAAATCAGATGCCAGATACAACACACTAATTGATCCCCCCCCCCCCCCCCCCCCCAGAATAAAGATCCTACTGGCTGAAATCACAACTAAATAAACCCTACTGTAGCTAGCTCTAACAATGAGCTAATGCTAACATGGGCCTACTGATACTAAATAAACCACAATGTAAATAGATCCACAATGTTGGGCAAAACAATATTACTAACAAGTCCAGGAGCAACAAAGCCAGGTCACCATCAGTCCATGGTTTCCTCCTTCAGCTGACTGTAGGCTGCACCGGTGTTCACTCTGGTTTTAGCTCTTTGCTTCACCTCCACATACATTATACTCCTACTTTTACTTTCAGGCTCCGCCATGATGCAAACAAAAACATTTTTTTTTACTTTTCTTTTTCATGTAGTTTCTATTGCCAATCATGGATGAAAAAGCTAACTGCTAGCCTTTATATTAGCTATACATACCAGCACAGTAAAAAAACCAATAGCTTACAGCACTGGTGCTGAACTAAACCACAAAACTGTTAAATGTAGTTTCTGTTCAACGGAGGGCTACGGAGTGTTTTCCAAAGGGAAGTTGCTCGAGTTTCTGGCTCAAGAATCACTAAAACCAGTTTCAAAGCCATAGCTTAAAGTGTTACAACTATTTAGTGTTGCTTTAAAAAAAATCTTCAAGTACAAATTAATGATTGCCGCTCCTATTTTGGGAAATTTACTTTGCATATGGTGAAAAACATGGACTGCATACAGTGGGCTTTGTGTTTGTGCTTTTACCCTTATGCTCTGTTTGTTACGCCATGTTTGGTTTGACACATTCTCTGTACATAAAGCCCACTGAGTTCATCTGAGAGAACACAGGAAGGATGTGACCTGTTTAATCTTCAGATCCATTTACTGTCCTTTAGCCAAGGTGGAACCGCCTCAGGGGGAAGGAAGGGGAGTTTATTGCAGTCTCTGTCTGAAGCAGTTACATCCTGTTTGATATTTTAGTTGTTTGGTCAGGTCAGTGAACAACAGGGAGTTATACTTATGCATACTGTGTGACTGAAGATGATCAGTGGTGGAGAGCTCAGACTCAGAGACAGTTTGCAGCTTTTGCCCCACTTAACTTCCTGTGCTCCATTTATAGGAGAATTAGGTCTTTGAAGGAAGACAGAAATGGAGCATTATGAGAAGAAGCCATCATTTTTACAGATTCAGGACTAAACTTTCAATTGGAATAAAACAACTTGGATTGCACTCTGTAACAAAAAAGTAGTTCAGATTTAAAAAAATATGTTAAGGCAATATAGTTGAGGCTGCTAACAAGAACCAAGAGAACCGAGCACACCAAACCTGCTCTTAAATCTCTACACTGATTACCAGTAAACTACAGAATCGATTTCAAAGTACTTCTACTAGTTTATACACAACTCTGTGGTATTGGGCCATAATACATGTTGAATTTCCTTCAGGTATATACGCCCAGCAGGGCTCTGAGGTTCTTAGGAAACAGTCAGCTGGTAGAACCCCAGGTCAGAACCAAACAGGGTGAAGCTGCGTTTGGCTACTATGCTGCTCACAGATGGAATCAATTTCCTCATGACCTCAAATGTTCCCCAAGTCTAAAAACTTTTAAATCATAATTGAAAACCTCAATGTTTTCATCAGCCTTTGAATAATTGTTCTTATGCTGCACCTTCTGCACTGTAACTGCTCACCCTTTAATTGAAACATTTTTTGAAACAGTTTTTTCTGTCATGTTGATTTTAATGTTATTGCTGTTCTTAGTAATGGAAAGCGTATTGAACTGCTTCTGTGTATGAAATGTGCTACATAAATAAATCTGCCTTGTCTTGCCTTATTACATCTACTGTTATTACAACTGTTACTACTACTACTACTGCTGATGCTACTACTACAACAACAACAACTACTACTACTACTACTACTACTACTACTAATGATGATAATACAAAAATGATAATATTAATAATGACTATGAATGTTTTGTTACCCCAGAATGTAGAGGGATAAAGTCTCCACACAGTCGGTCTGCTACTCCAAGCCTAACAGCTAAGAGCCCTGGACTTCACCGACGCAGCAAGTCTCCAAGATCTGGTAGTAGATGCACCTTTGTCCTAGTTTTAGAGAAAAACTAAATTTGTTTATCATGATCATGAAAAAAATACAATTCAGACAATATTAGTGTATAAAATAAAAACAAATAACTATAAATACTAAACAGGAGTACTTATAGGTTTTAGGTGTATAATCTTGCTTGTCTTGTGATTTTCAGCAAGATCACCTGTTCAGTTCTCCACCAGTCACTCTCCAGTCCGATCTCCTGGTAAAAAAAGAAAATTTCCTTGATTTGGTCTTTGCTTTTCAAATGTCCTTATTTTTGTTAGATTTTAAACCAAAGAGCAGCCAGTGTTGTTCAGGGTTTTATAATTACTACATTTGTACAGTATTGTGACTCTATACAGTTCAGCATCAGATTCTAATGTTTCAGAACTGGATCTCATTTAGAGGACAACACTAAATTACACTTGGTATTCCACCTTTTTTATTATATAAAGTATTTTTTCTATCTTCTGTTGTTCTTTATACAGTCAACGGTTTCTCAGCTTCCAGGTCTAACAAGTCATCCACTCCGTCTCCCACCAGTCCAAGGACCATCCCCCCTCTGAAGGTGAGACAGTGCTGACCAGCACATATAAATGCATGGTTCAGAAAAATAAAAGGTTTAATTTAACCAAACAACAAAATTATTTTCCCAATAGGTGAATTTTTCCAGATGTGTTCCTACCTGCTGAGTTGGATCAGCTGTGTCATTTTACAAGCCATGTTTTACAAACAAGGTCCCCAGGGATTTCTTTCAGCACCATGGACAGCAACATTACACGTCGCATCCTATCACCATTCGTCAACTGAATAACATGTTTCTTTAGTCGTTGTTAAATTGAACTGTCCCTCCTGATTTTGGTTAAGCAAGCCCCGTGTGGTAGGAGGTTTTCTGGCAGTAACCTTGTTTTTAGCCGTGCAGTATGCTTCTGTTGGAGTTTGGTTCCTTCCCTCTGTGGCGCTCCAAACTGAGGCGGTTGAGCGAGTTATGCCTTTTAACTTTATTTCCCTTTTGATGTAGGACGTTGCTTAGCAAACATATAAATAGACCATATAAATGGTGGGGATAAGTAGCTGAATATCTTTTATTATGGATACACTATAAAATACCTACAAACTTTATGTGCCTGATTGAGCGTTAACATTTTTATATGTGATGGAGCAGTCACCCATGAAGTAACGACACGCAACTAAACATTTCCACATTTGGTAAGTTGGAATCGAGGAGCGCTCCTCTGGATTTGCGCTTTCTACCTAGCTGGCTCTCCCGATGCAGAGGCAGCTTCTGTCAGGCGTTGCCACAGCAACAGAATATGAATCTGTGCGCTCAGAGACCAAAACGGATTCTTACGACATAAAAAAAAATAAAGAAACAAGTTCACATTTGGTCCTGCAGCCAAGTTTTCCATTTAGTATTTTTGACCCAGGTTTAAATACTAAAAAACAAGACTTTAATTTTGTATCCGTTCAA